CCAAGACGGCCCAAGAGACCTCCAAGACGCCCAATATGGCCTCCAAGATGGCCCCGAAGCGCCCCAAGAGGACCCCAAGTCGGTTCAGAGAGGCCCCCCTGAGACGTCCCCCGACGGCGTCAGACGTGCCAGGAGCCCACCAAGATGGCCGAAGTTGGCTCGAAGCTGGCCCAAGACGGCCCAAGAGGCCTCCAAGAGGGCCTCCAGGAAAGCCCGAAAAGGCCAAAAACATTAATATGTCGACGGTTTTTGAAGGATTTTGACATGTGCTTCTTGTCGGCCTTCCGACGGACCGAGACGGCCCAAGAGCCCCCAAAGATCGCCCAAAGATCGCCCACGAGGCCTCAAAGATGGCCCCAGAACGGCCCGAGAGGCCCCCAATATGGCCTCAAGAGGGCCCGACGACGGCCCAAGAGATCTCCAAGGCGCCCAAGATGGCCTCCAAGACGGCCCTGGAGCACCTCAAGAGGGCCCCAAGTCGGCCCAGAGGCCCCCCAAACAGCTTCCGACGGCGTCAGACGGGCCAGGAGCCCACCAGGACGGCCGAAGATGGCCCTAAGATGGCCCAAGACAGCCCAAGGGGCCTCCAAGGGCCTCCAGGAAGACCCTAAAAAGGCCCAAATCATTGATTTCCCATGAGCTTTTGAAGGATTGTGGCATTCTCGTTTTGTCTACCTTCCGATGGCCCGAGACGGCCCAAGAGCCCCCAAAGATCGACCAAGAGGCCCAAGACACGGCCGCAAGAGGCCCCCAAGACGGCCCAAGAGGCCTCCAAGACGCTCAAAATGGCCTCGAAGACGGCCCAAGAGCCCTCCAAGACGTCCTCCAAGAAAGCCCGAAAGGGTCAGAATGGCCTCCAAACGGCCAAGAAGACCTTCAAGATGCCCGCGTGTTCCCCGAAGGCTTTCCAAACCGATTCAGAGAACACATGGTCCGATAGCTTGGCGGATCTGGCCTCAACGTTCGGCCACATCGGCGCTTCCAAAAAGGCAGGGGGCGGCGGTGATTCGCCGTAGGCGTCTTCGATCCGCCGCCCCCTGAGCATAACTCACCCTGTATCCTTGAATGATGTGTGCGAGGCCAGCTCGAAACCCTGGCTTTGAGGCAAGCACCCCTATTCTCCAAATCAAGATTCTGGCAAAAACTTGAATGGAATCCGCCAATCCTGTCGGCGTGTTTGAGAGACTGCTCCGTTTGAGTCGGATTCGTCGTCGCCGTTGCCGTCGCCGTCGCCGTCGCCGTTCCCCCCCTTTCCCTAAGCCCTCCTCCTCAAGCGTCCCAGCCGGAGGGAGATTGATCACCGTCGCAGTCGATCCGAAGGAAAGCCTCTTCCCTTTGAGTCCTCCCCCGCTGGGAGGGGTGGGGGGTGGGGGGAGGGGTCCTGGGGTTGTGACCCTCCCAGGGGGCGGGGTGGAGCATCCCTCCCTGGGAGAAGCTGTCCCCTCCGATCGCGTGCCTCCTAAACAAATCGAGCTTGCTTGTACCGCGGCTTGCTCCAAGAAGGCCTTGAAACAGCCTAAGATCGCTCCAACACGGCACATCATGCCCTCGAGACAGCCGCGGGAACGCCCAAGACTCCCTAAGAAAGCACCAAGAAGAGCCGCACGAGGGGCCCAAGAGGCGAAAGCCATTGATTGCCAGTTCGTTGTCCCATGTGTCTCGCGTCCTCGCCCTCGGGCTTCCTACGCTCCAAGACGGCCCAGGAAGCCCGAACACTCGCACCAAGACGACTCAAGAGGCTGCTGGAAGCGTCCCAGCACGGCGCAAGACGCCCCCAAGACGGTCCGAGACAGCCCCAAGACGGCCCAAGAGGCTCCCCAGATGGCCGAAGAGGGTCCCAAGAGGGCCCCAAGAGGCTCCCGAAAGGGGGAACACCAACCGATGCTTCGGACCTTCGGCCACAAGAGGCCCCCAGGAGGCCCAAAGAGGCGCCCCCGAAGCCCCGAAGAGGCCCCCAAGAGGGCCAAAAGAGCCCCAAGCGCACCAGAAGAGAACCCCGAGATGGCAAACCTGCTTATTTTCATTCAGGTTTTGAATGTTGTTCGTCGTCGCCACCGCCGCCGCCGCCGCCGTCGTCGTCGTCGCGGCGTCGTCGTCGTCGTTCTCGTCGTCGTCGTCCCCCTTCAGGGCTGGCGCCACTGGCAGCAAGGCCTTCACAATATGTGCTTGCACAAACTTCAACGTTCGAAACACATCGTTTGCCAACAAGTGCTTCATCTTTATTGTTGGCGGTTGGGCATCAGCCCATCGTCAAATGGCGGCGACCGAGGCCAGAGAGGCCTGAACACTAACAACAGAAACGAGCTGTGTATCATTTTGCCAGGGGTCCCGTACTGACAGTACGGCATAGTGTGCAACTGGGAGCTCCTCTGTTTTCGCAAACTTGGCCCAAAAAAGAAAACGGACGAGGGGGAAAGAGCAGGGATCTCCCGAGGAGGAGGAAAGAGGAGGGAAGGAGGAGAACGGATCGAGGAGGAAGAGGACCGAGGAGGAGAAGGATCGAGGAGGAGGAGGAGGAGGATGTAGGAATTCGCTGGAATTCGCTGGTAACCCGACTGTGGTAGCAGGAAGTAGGCTGATCCCCTCAACCGTGTAGTGGAGCCAGCACCAACCTCTCCTTGACGACAAGGGCTGCCTCAAAAATCCATGAAAAGCTTACCAGAACTGTAGCTGAGAAGCTCTGGCTGCTCCAGGTACCCCCTCCGGCACAGGCAAACGCACACACACACACACACACTGTTTGGCGACGCGGCCCCGCGCGCAGCAACAGGGCGTTCAAACACACACACACACAAAGAGAGGCACACAGACACAGACACAGACACAGACACACATACACACAAACGCGCGCACACACACACATACACACACCACGCACAAACGCACACACACATACAATTCTCGCAGGAGAGCGCCCTAGCATTGTAGCTGAAGATATGCCGTCCCTGCTGCCTCGAGCTGGTCACTGCACTGTAGCTGGGAACTGCTCTCCGCCCTGATCGCGCTCTCTGATTTCAGCGCTGTAGATGATATCGGGCTCAACTTGCGCAGTCCGCCTCTCGCTGAACACGACAGAAGAGGTTGCTAGCTTCCCAACGCTGTAGCTGGTGACGTCTGGCTGCGGATGTGTCTCCGCTATCTCGCTGAGATGCGATCGAGACTGCTGTCACGGTTCCCTTTTGTCGCCCACGCCGCTCCCAGCTCTGTTCTGTCAGATATGGAGCTCTCGATGTGCCTTGTGCCCTTCTCGCACGTCCCTGTTCCAACGCTGCAGCTGACATCGGGCTCTAGCTTCGCCTGCCCCAGTATGGCTGCTGGCATCGGGCTCTCACCCTCACCTCCCTCATACCGATGAAGTGCGACCGAGCCTGCTGCCAGCCCTTGCTGCCGCTGCCTGCCTTCTCGCCCTGCCAGCACGAGCTGCCACTGCCTGTCTTCTCGCACGAGCTGGTCCAAGCAACGTTGTGGCTGATGATGCCTGCGTCCCGCGCGCCCTGATTCAAAAGCTATAGCTGATGACAGCGGGATCACCCTTTGCCTTGCATCTCGCTTGGTAGCCACAGAGTTTGCTGAAACTGCTCGGCATTCTCACACGCCCGAACTGGCCCCAGCCCTGTAGCTGATAGCGTTGGCCCTAGCGGTCTCGCCTTTCTCACACGGTCGGCCTCCAGCGGCGTGGCTAACGATGTCGGCCAATGCGTCGCTTCTCGCATTGGCAACGCCTGCTACTACTGCTTGCCCCTGTCGCCTTGACAGCGCTTGCTGCCACTGCCTGTGGTTGCACACGGGCTAACTCCAGCGGTGTAGCTGATGGTGTTCGGCTCCTGCGCATGCGCTCCCGCGATGACAGAGGTTGCTGCAACTGCTCGTCGTTCTCCGAACTGGCAAGAGCGGCTGCCACTGTTTCCGCTCTCGCGTCATCTGAACCCAGCGTTGTTGTGGCTGACGATGTTGATTTCCTTGAGGTTTGAGTCCTCCGCTGTTGCAGCGACCCGGCGTCGGCGGTCGTTACTGCTCGCCAGGGGGCGGAGAAGGGGGCGGAGAAGGGGGAGCAGACGGGTACTCCTCCTGGCGGCCTCGCCCGCGCCTGACCTCAGCAGTGTGATTAACGATGTTGGGCGCGGCGATTCTTCGTGGTGGCCCTCGAGAGCAAGGCCATTCCGCAATCGGCGCTCGAAACGCCCGCGCGCGCCCCGTGCAGGGGGGCCGCTCGGACGAGAAATGGCTAGGAGGAGGAGGAGGAGGATCGAGGACCGACCATAATTCGATCCAAATCTCCCCCCAGACCCCTCCCCGCAAGTCTTTCGAGCCGCGCCCAGCCGTGGCGATGAGAGCCTCCAGAATCACCCCGAAAAGCCTCCGATCCTCGATCCCCACACCGGCGACCGAGGAGGGCGGCCACACTCCCCCCCCCGAGAGAGGAGGAGGAGGAGGAGGACGAGGAGGCGGAGGAGGAGGAGGAGGAGGCGAGGAGGAGGGAGAGAGGAAAAGGAGGGAGGAGGGAGAAAGAGAGAGGAGGGAGGAGGAGGGAGGAGGAGGGAGGAGCAGGGAGGAGGAGGGAGGAGGAGGAAAGAGGGGGAGGAGGATGTCGAGTGAGGAGGAGGAGGGAGTACTGTAGAAGGGAGGAGGGGTAGGAAGAGGAGAGAGGAGGGAGGAGGCGAGGAGGAAACTTCGTCGCGCAGTGGCGGGGAGGGCCTCCAGACCGCCCTCAAACACACCCCTGGCCATCGAGCCCTCCGGCGGCGACCGAGGCAGCCTCCTCCGCCGCCTCCTCGATCTTTGCTTGAGCACCTTCGATTCTCCTCGATCCTGGGCTCGAGGAGGGAGGGACGCCTCCTTTATCCTCGATCCTCGATGTTCCTCCTTGCTCCTCCTCCTCCTCCTCCTCCTCCTTCTCCTCCTCCTTCTCCTCCTCCAGGAGGGAAGCCTCCTCTATCCTCGATCCTCGATCCACCTCCGTCCGCCTTCGCTGGCGAGCGAGAAGGGACCCTCCCCGAAAGCCTGGGGCACGCGCTCGAAGAGGGGCGACTGCCACGGCCGGCTCGCGAGGCGGCTCGTGGGCGCCAGGGCGCACTCCTGGCAGCCAGCGGGCTATGGGGGGAGGACCGCGCCGAGCAGGAAACCGAGCAGCGGGCGGGAAGAGGAGGAGGAGGAGGAGGAGGAGGAGGAGGAGGAGGAGGAGGAAAAGGAGGAGGAAAAGGAGGAGGAGGAGGAGGAGGAGGAAGAGGAGGAAGAGGAGGAGGAGGAGGAGGAGGAGGAGGGGAGGAGGAGGAGGAGGAGGAGGAGGAGGAGGAGGGAGGAGGAGGAGAGGGGAGGAAGCGGGAGGGGGTGAAGCAGGGAGGGATGAGGAGGAAGACGAGGAAGAGGGGAGGGGAGAGGAGTGGCGAGTTCGGAGGGAGGGAGGGGAGGAGGGAGAGAGGATGAGGGAGGGGGACATGAGGGAGGAGGGAGACGAGGAGGGGGAATGCTCGGGCCCGAGCGCCGAGCGCCGAGGGCTCCAGGATCGAGGGCCGCACGACGAGGTTCGGGAGCTCGGGGATCGAGGTGGGTCACGGAGGATCAGAGAGGATCGAGGAGGGTCAAAGAGGAGGGAGGATGAAGGATCCAGGGGAAACCAAGACCAAGGGGGTCGAGATTACGGGGCGCTCTCATATGCGGGGTGGGCTATCAAACCCTTCCTGGCACTCAAAGGGCGCTTGGAGGTCGATGCATCCCCCCCGAGCCTGTCCCCCCGACATTGCCCTTGACAGGGGGGGGCCGTGGGATGCAGGAGAGGGCAATGGTGCCGCGTTCGTCGATGACACAATGCCTCTCTACCCTGGAAAGGCGGGCAAAAAGGAAGAGGAAGGATGATCGAGGATCGAAAAACGGGAAGGCGGATCGAGGATCTGGGATCGAGGCCGAAACGGGGGGGGGGGGAGCGGGGCGAGGAGGAAGGATCGAGGATCGAGGAGCCTGAACGCTTCCAGCCCGCCCGCTGGGACTCCGAGGCCCCCGCGGGCCGCCGGGGCGCCAAACTCGAGGGGAGGGGCTCTGACGACCCGAGAGAGCTCGCGCCCGAGGCTCTTCACGAGCGGCGAACATCTCCGCCCCCGCGCCCTCGCGGTCTGGATTCCGGGGCGCGATTTCGCGGATACGCGGTCGCACGGGCGCGCTCCGCGCGGGGCATCCCGCGAGAGTTCGTGGCCAAGGGGGGGCCCGGCCCGCGAGGCCGCGGTTACGGACATGTTTTCCGCTCACGGGCTCTTTCGTTGTGTTTCCGGAGCTCCGAAGCCCCGGGGCAGTCCAGGATCGGGGGGATCCAAGAGGGGGATTCGCAGATCATGGCCCGAAGCATGTGCAAGGACGAGGGTGGGGAACTGGGGGCACGAAACCCTGAGAGAAGCCATGGCCCTGGCCATGATGTCCAGCCACCCTGGCCATCACCCCCCTCCTGGCCGCCCCCGACCGAATAAACGGCTCGAGACGGCAGGCCGGCCCCGAGGAGGGAGACGAGAGCTCCAGGGGCTGACGACTCTAACATATCGAGTCGCCAGGGTCTCTGAGAGGAGAGAGGGGGGAGCAGGGGTAGGAGATTGAGTGGGCGGAGAAGGAGGAGGAGAAGGAGGAGCCGGAGGAGGAAGAAGCAACACTCCGAGAAAAAAAAACAAACGCAGGCGGTCACGACCAAGAAGAGGCAGGGGTCATCCTTTTTTTCAACCACGACACACTCGGCAGCGGCGGCGGCAGGCAGGCGGACAGACCTGCCTTGCAGAACTCGTCGAAGGCCCGCCGAGGATGAGGCCAGCCCACGGGCGCGGCCGCGGGCGAGAGAGGAGGAAGAGGGATAGGAATAGGAAGAGGAAGCGGAAGAGGAAGACGAGGAGGAGGAGGAGGAGGAGGAGGAGGAGATGGAGGAGGAGGATGAGGAGGAGGAGGAGGAGGAGATTGAGGAGGAGGAGGAGGAGGAGGAAGAGGAGGAGGAGGAGGAGGAGGAGGAAGAGGACGAGGACGACGACGTGCAGCGTGGGGAGGACGAGTCCTCGAAGGAGGGGTTTGGGGACACGTCGTTCGCGTCGCCGCGACCCTTCCGGCCCCCCCTCCCCCCCGATCCCCTGTTCTCCGACGCCTTGGTGTCCTCAGGCTCTTCATCGGGAAGGGGCTCCGCAGCCCTGGCCGCCAGCCGACGGCCCCCTTGGCGCTGGCAGCGGCCTCGCGAGGCCCCCTAAGCGGCACGAGAGCGCAGGCCCGACTCCGCCGAGTCGCCCCGAGAGGCCTGGGCCCACCGCAGTCTCTGGAGGCCGCCCCAGGGGGGCCCTGGAGGTCCCCGAGGGCCCCAGATGCAGCCAGAGGCCTGCAGGCAACCGGAAAGAGCAACGTAACAGACACTAGAAGATCTACATCTTCCTCCTCCTTCTCCTCCGCCTGCTCCTCATCCTCCTTCTCCTCCTCCTCCTCCGCCTCCGCCTGCTGCTCCTCCGCCTGCTGCTCCTCCGTCTCTTCTTTCTCCTCCTCCTCCTCCTCCTCCTCCTCCTCCTCCTCCTCCGCCTCCTCCTCCGCCTCCGCCTCCACCTCCTGCTCCTCCTCCTCCTCCTCATCCTCCTCCTCCTGCTCCTCATTGTGTCCTCATGCTCCTCATTGTGTCCCCCAGTAGGGCCCCAACAGTCGCTGTTGCCCCATCAAGCGGCATACGAACCCCAGGTGCATCGGCAACTGTCTGGGTGCCTCTGCCCCCATCTTTTCCGCACTCTCATCGGCTCGTTGGTGCTGCTCTGCTCCGCTCCACCATTCACTCACGGATGCACTGAGGGCGCGACAGTTGAAGCCCGAACCAGAACAACAAGAATAAGGAAGCGAGCGAACAGAGCGAGCACGCTGAGCAGCAGAGGCGAGCACGCTGTACAGCAGAGGCGCCGGGTGGACTCCGCGCCACTGCAAGCAGCCCGAGCCACCAAAACTGCCCCCCTCCCCCGTCCCGCCGTGGCGCGAGGCAACCGAGGATGGGAGGGGGTGCCCAGAGATCGCGAACAGGCCTAGCCTCCTCCTCCTCCTCCTCCTCCTCCTCCTCCTCCTCCTCCTCCTCCTCCTCCTCCTCCTACTCCTCGTCCTCCTCCTCCTCCTCCTCCTCCTCCTCCTCCTCCTCCTCCTCCTCCTCCTCCTCCTCCTCCTTTCTTACGTTGAGCGAAGTGAAGGTACTGATCTGTAGCGCTCGTGCGAGAAAACATCGACGTAGCAATGTGAGCAACGATATCATGTGAACTAAGCGGCAGACCCGCGTGGTTCTGGAAAGACTTTCTCCTTCTCTTTCCGTTTCCTCCTCGTCCTCGTCCTCGTCCTCCTCCTCCTCCTTCTCCTCTACCGCCTCGAGCCCCCCTGCTTGGATAGCAGGGCCCCGTCAAGAACTCGGGGATCGCTGGGGCAACCCCCCTTCGGTTGCAGGCTGACGGGGTGGCGGGGAGGTCGGTGCCGCCAGATGGGCGGCGTACAAGTACACGGGTGGCCAACCCCAGGGCCTGGCGGAGGTGGGGCCCCGATGTCAAGGCTTGGAGTGGGCGCCTCCCCCCAGGGGTTGGGGGTAGGCCGTGGTGGGGCTGGGATCCTCCCCTTCCCGAGGCATCCCGGTCCCGCCGTGGCTCCCCCCCCGCTGGGGTCGCAGGTCGGCGCTTTTTCTCGCGCCGTATTTGCACTGGGGGCGAACGTCTGTCGCTTGCTTCGTGTTTTGCCTCTGGAGCCTCACGTGTGTCTTGCGAACGTCTATCGGTCTGTGCTGTGGATGGCCTCTGGAGTCTCATGTGCGTCTTGCGAGCGGCTTTCGCTTCTTTTGGTGCCCTCTGGAGCCCCACCTGTTTTTACGGTGGGCATTCCCCTCGGCTTCAAAATGCCCGAGGTGAGGTCGAGCCCGCTGTAAATCATCGCGCTTTGTGTTCGGCTGCCGTGCCCACGTGGGTCTCGGCTCTCGCCTGGCTGCTGGGGCGTGGCCCTGCCTTCTTAGACGGCAGATCCTCCTCCTCCTCCTCATCCTCCTCCTCCTCCTCCTCCTCGTCCTCCTCGTCCTCCTCCTCCTCGTCCTCCTCCTCGTCCTCCTCGTCCTCCTCGTCCTCCTCCTCCTCCTGCTCCTCCTCCTCCTCCTCGTCCTCCTCCTCCTCGTCCTCCTCCTCCTCGAAGGGGCACGCGCGGCCCCCTCCTGCACGTAGTTGGAGGTCACCTTCTGCCTCCAGTCCTGCCGAGACCCGCGGCGGCGACCACGACGGCGGCGGCTGTCGGTCGTTTGGGAGGCTCTCTTGTTGGAGGCCTGGAAATGGGCACCAACACCAAAACAGGGGGTTCCTCCACAGGGGGAAGATGATCCCAGATTTCGGTGTTGGTGGTAATATTTCGGTCACCCTGGAAGCCAAAATATTACCACCATCACCGAGATTGGGATCTTCTTCCCTCGGTGGAGGCACACCGCGGATCTTGGTGTTGGTGTCAACCTCTGGGCCTGCGATCTTGGTGGCGCTCCGGGAGGGTAACGTGGCCTCAGCTGGGCGCGGCTCGGGGAGTTCGTCACGATGGGCCCTGGGAGGGGTCCAGGGACAAGGGACTCGTAGAGCGAGCGCCTCTGAGCGCGAAGCAACTGAAGCCAGGGTGATTCTGGAGCACCGGCAGGTAATTGGCGGAAACATATATACGGAATGAGGAGCTCTTCGCTTCTCCACTGGACCAGGCATCATCACAAGCATCGGCCTGCTAACTCGAAAGCGCTGAGATCGGCCTCCTACTTGGGCTATGCTCGAAGCATGTGTTTCGCGCTGCAACTGTTCAGCTGCGTCGAACTGTCGTTCGACATCATGCTGAGAATTATAATTATTAGGCATACCATTGGACCAGACGTCATGTAACGCATCAGCCTGCAACCTCGACGGCGCCGAGATCGGCCTCCTGCCAAAGTTATACTCGAGAAGCTAGTTTCGTGCTGCAACTATTATGCTTCGTCGAACTGTGTTCCGACTAAACCTCTGGACTTAGGACAGCTGCAGCGCTATGAGGCATACCATTGAATCGGGTACCATCGGAAACAGCAGCCTGCAACCTTGAGGACGCCAAGGTCGGCGTTCTGCTCGCGCTATGCTCGAAAAAATGGGCTTCGCGCTGCAGGTATTCTGCTTCGCCGAGCTGTTTTCGACTGAATCTAATCATTGAGAGCGGCTACGGAGCCATTAGGTAGACTATCGGATCGATCATCATCGAAAGTAACAGTCTGCAAACTCAAGGGCGCCGAGACCGGCCTTTGGCGCTCCGCGCGGGTTTCTTGGATCGGCGCCTGGGCCCCCCAGAGGCGCCTCCGGCGCCGCCTATCGTAGAGGTTCCTCGTCAGAGTGGAAGGGTTACCACCGCCAATTTTCCATGTGGCCTATGAAACTCACAGTTCCAGCAAGAATTGAACACGTCTCGAAGGTTACACGTCGTTCATTTCTAATCGTGCTCATTTCTAATTGTACTCGTTTCTAATTGTTCCTGGCCCCCCAGTGGCCAGGAAGAGGCCCAGGATAGGACAACTAGACATGAAAGGATCATGGTACCCCCAAAAAATTAAAGAACTCTCGAAGAATTAGAAATGAACAATGTGTAGGCCGATGCGAGCTTCCGAGCGGTAACCAAGGCTGACTGTTTGCCGCCGGCGCCCGGTGAGCGCAGAGCAGGGCCGGGGCGACCCCGCCGCCACCGACGACGACGACGACGACTTCGACGACGACGGCGACGACGACGACTTCGACGACGACGGCGGCGGCGGAGGCGGCGGAGGCGGCGACGTTCTCACAACTCCTCCCTCGAGGGTTCGGGGCCGTAATGCCAATATCAAGGCAAGGGCTGCTAAGGCGGCCAGGCGTACGGGCCGTCTTCGGCGCCACAGGGCCATCCTTGGCCGCAGGACCCGAAAGGTTTTTGTTGCTGGGGCCCTCCCCGCTCTGCAATACGGTTGCGAGGCCCATGGGTTTTCGGACGGTGAGCTGGCTGAAGTGCGGCGCTTGGAAGGAGACCCGACGTGGTTCGGCACGGCCGCTCCTGTTCTGCGCTGTGCGCGCGAAGCGTGGCTCAGACACGCCTCCGCCACCCCCTCGGCGTTTTCTTGGGAGTCTCTGGAGGACGCCTGGACCCAGGCCTTCAGTGGGCCGTGCCCCAGCTGGCGGGCCGTGCGTGGCCCCTTGGGAGCTTTGAGGTTGTCGCTGGCCAGGCTCAACTGGTCCATGTCTCAGCCGTTCGGAGTGGTGGATGAGTTGGGGGCCCCCTACTCCTTTACCTTCACCTCCCCTGCCTTGCTCAAGAGGGTTCTCCGTGTAGCTTCCTGCAGACTTCTTGAGCGTGAGGTGGGGGCCAAGTACGCTCAGGACCACAGGCTGTGCTATGACATTGTCTTAAAAGGTTTGGCATCCAAGAAGTACTCGGTCCTGGACAAAGGCTGCATCCGCACTGTCTGTTGTAACGGAGTCTGGCCGCTTGCCCGCGCACGTGCTGCTGGCTACCAAGCGGAAGACATTTGTCCACGTTGCTGCCAGACAGGCGATACCATTTTTCACCGCCTCTGGGAGTGTTCGTCGTGTGAGGAGTTCAGGAAAGAGTTGGTGCCTAAGAGAGTTCTGGACCATGCCAGGAAGCCCGACCTGACGGCCCGTGAGTGGTTCTAACTAGAAACTGGACGTTTCCCCCATCCAGGAGACTGTTGGCCGCGACCCTGGGGGCAGGACGAGGCCTTTGCGGCCAAGGTTTTCAGAATGTGTGATGTCGACTCTAGCTCTGACGCGCCTCTCGATATTTCCAATGGCTTCGCCATGCACGCGGACATGGGAGAAGAGCTGGTGGGGGGCATGTTCCTGGATGGCTCGTGTAGGAAGTCACTCATCAAAGAGCTGTGGAGGGCGGGGTGGGGCGCGGCGAAATTCTCGGCCGATGGCGAGCTTCGGGCGATCCCTTACGGCCCTCTCTCCTCCAGATACCCGCAGACCAACCAGGCTGCTGAGTTTGGGGCCCCTGCCAGTACGGCTGCTTATTTGTCCCCGAGCCCTGTTAGATTTAAGAGTGATTGCCAGGTTGTCGTCAAGTTGTGGACTCTGGTTCGGTCTGAGCGCTACTCGTACCGCAGGCTGTAGTCTAGGTTTTTGCTGCAGGCTGACACCGTAGCCGACGGCGCCATCGACGGCGTGGATAAGGTGAAGGCTCACCTTGAGCTGGATCAGTCACTCGATTGTGATGAGCTGTTCAGGGGGAAGGGAAACGATTGGGCCGACAGAGCTGCGAAGCTGGGTGCGTCTTTGCACCCCGACGGCACAGAAGACGACCATCAACGGGTTTCGCATCTCGTGGCTGTCTCCCGTGCCGTCGTCAAGCTCGCGGCCCGAGTGATGCCCCTTTGGCCGCGAACCGAGTTGGACGGAGTCCCGCTGGTGCCGAGGCCCAGGAGCACCCACACTGAGAGCCAGGCCACGATTGGATCCTGGTCGGCAACCCTCCAAGAGTGTTTTGGCAGTGCCAGCACTGCCTTCGAGGCCCTCCTTCGCGAATGAAGCCCGTGCCAGGGCGCTGCACGCTGCATCTCAGGGTTCAGCCCTTGACCCTGCTGAGTCCAGGGCTCCGCTGCGTCCCCATTGACTACAGCGACGCCTCGTTTGTTTGCATGTGCCAAAGGTGTGCCAGCTACACGTCAGGTGAGCGCATGGCCAACCTCGCCAAGAAATGCGCTCCCCTGGCGGCTCCACACGAGCATGTCAATTGGAGGCGTCTCGGCAAGGGTACCCACCCTAGGAAGAGTGGGGTCAAGGTCGATGTGTCCACCTCCTGGCATCGTGGCATTCCAGGCCCTGCTGTCGCAGGCCCGACTGAGGTATCTCCTTCTAAGGGGGGGGGGGGGGGCGGGGCGCGGAGCCGGTTGGGCATAGGACGGGAGGGGCGAGACCTCACTCCATCGAGCTGCAGCCCTCGGGTGTTGCGCCCTGGGCAGGCGAGTGCGCGGCCGACGAGGAGGCGGCGGACTGCCCGGTCGGCCCAGGGCCAGGGGCGGGCTCCGCCGCGCGGCCTGAGCCTGGGCAGGCGGCAGCTCTGGTGGCCGCTGGCAGTTCTGGTGGCCCGCCCGACCTCGTCTTCTCCTGGAGGAGGTGGCAGTGCTGAGGCCCGTGGGCCCTCCGTGTGCCGCGGCCCCGCCTCCCGAGGGCCGCCGTCGGCCCTGCCTTTGGCAGGGCCGCGGGCCCTCAAGCGGGCGACGCCGTCGGCACATGGGACGGGAAGCGTGCCGCTGCTTCGAGCAGCGTGGGCGGGATCCACTGCCATGGGGGGAGGGGGGGAGCTCGGTGAGCACCCTAAGGCCGCCCCCCAGGCCCCACCCTCTCTTCTGGGGCGGGAGATGGCTACTCCAGGCTTGGCTCCGGTCGCCCCGCCCGGCAGCGGTGGACGCGGAGGGGCCCGCCGCTGCGGTCCCTGCTCCTCACGTAGGTGGAGAGGCCGATGCGGGCCCTCGCCCTCGCGAAGGCGAGGAGAGCTCGGGGTCGTCAGACTAATGTTGTGGGGTGATTTGCCTCAGTGGCGATCTCCTCCATTCAACCTGTCTGTCCATGCTTCATGGGTCGTTGACCGTGCATGTAAACTATCCCGGCAAAGCAACCTAACAGCGATGAGTATAAGCATATCTGGAAGCATTCCCCTTACGATTCAGGTGAGAATCCAGTTGTAGAATTCTGCTGTTCTCGCAGTCTCAGTCGCATTCGCAATGACAGTCGCAGTGGCAACGGCCTTAGGATCCAATGGAATCCTAAGGATTCCTAAGGATTCCTAAGGCATCCTTAGGCATCCGTAGGAATCCGTAGGAATCCTGAGGAAACCTTAGGAATCCTGATTCCCAGGGAGTCCTAGGGATTCCTAAGGATTCCTGGGGAATCCTAAGGATTCCTACCTGAGCCTGCCTCAGCCTCAGCCTCAGCCTGCCTCAGCCTCAGCCTGCCTCAGCCTCAGCCTCAGCCTGTCTCAGCCTGCCTCAGTATCAGCCTCAGCCTCAGCCTCAGCCTGCCTCGGCTTGCCTCGGCCTCAGCCTCAGCCTGCCTCGGCCTCAGCTCAGCCTCAGCCTGCCTCAGCCTCAGCCTCAGCCTGCCTCAGTATCAGCCTGCCTCAGTATCAGCCTGCATCAGCCTCAGCCTCAGCCTGCCTCAGCCGCAGCTTGCCTCAGCCTCAGCCCCTCAGCCTCAGCCTCAGCCTGCCTCGGCCTCAGCCTCAGCCTGCCTCGGCCTCAGCCTCAGCCTCTCAGCCTCAGCCTGCCTCAGCCTCAGCCTTAGCCTCAGCCTCAGCCTGCCTCAGCCTCAGTCTCAGCCTGCCTCAGCCTCAGCCTCAGCCTCCCTCGGCCTCAGCCTGCGTCAGCCTCAGCCTCAGCCTGCCTCAGCCTCAGCCTGCCTCAGCCTCAGCCTCAGCCTGCCTCGGCGTGCCTCAGCCTCAGCCTCAGCCTGCGTCGGCCTCAGCCTACCTCGGCCTCAGCCTGCCTCAGCTCGGGCATTCAACATATGGTACATGAATGGTGTTCTGAAAACACGAAGCACACGATTTGGCTGACAGTTGGCTCCGGGCATTCAAAATATGGTACAGACAAGAATGGTGTTCTGGGAACACGAAGAACACGAAGTGGCCGACAGTTGGCTCGGGGCATTCAAAATGTGGCCTGGGAATGGTGTTCTGGGAGCACCAAGAAAACGAAGTGGCCTACAGCTGGCTCCGGGCATTCAAAATGTTGCCTGGGAATGGTGTTCTGGGAAGACGAAGAACACGAAGTGGCCTACAGTTGGCTCTGGGCTTCAAAATGCGACCTGGGAATGGTGTTCTGGGAAGACGAAGAACACGAAGTGGCCGACAGTTGGCTCGGGGCATTCAACATGCGGCCTGGGAATGGTGTTCTGGGAGCACGAAGAACACGAAGTGGCCTACAGCTGGCTCCGGGCATTCAAAATGTGGCCTGGGAATGGTGTTCTGGGAAGACGAAGAACACGAAGTGGCCTACAGTTGGCTCTGGGCTTCAAAATGCGGCCTGGGAATGGTGTCCTGGGAAGACGAAGAACACGAAGTGGCCTACAGTTGGCTCCGGGCATTCAAAATGTGGCCTGGGAATGGTGTTCTGGGAATGGATTCCTAAGGATTCCTCAGAATTCCTAAGGATTCATGGGGCTGACCCTTTTGTCCGGATCTGTCCTGATCCCGCCCAGACCCCCCTGGGGCGTCAAGATGCTCTGTTTTGAGCCCACTAGAAGCTTATCAGCAAAAGCTGTTAGGTAAAAATCCTCCTCCACATCTTCCTCGCCCCATTCCTCCCTGCCATTCCTTCCGTTCCTCCTAGCCCCTTACATTCACCCTCCTTCTCCTCACCGTCGTCCTCCATCGTGCCTGCACGGAGTGGGCGTGTTATAATGCTTGTCGGTTGTCTGAGAATTGTTTTCTGTAGGTTTCTAAGTCCGTCACCCCACCCCCCCTCGCACGCGTCCCTCTGAGACCGCCTCCGCTGAAATTGCTCCACGGCGATCTCCTCAGCCTCCAGACAGCCAAGATGGCCTCCAAGAAGGCTCAATAAGGCTCAAGATGGCACAAAACACTTCTCAAGACAGCTTCAAGACGACCCAAGAGGCCCCGAAGACGGCCAAGGGGACTCCAAGAGGCCCTCCAGGAGAGCCCAAGGAAGCCCACACCATGGATTTCCCTTAGGTGTTTGAAGACTTGTCAGGTTCTCGGCTGTGTGGACTTCCGACCGCCCCCGACGGCCCAGGGGGCCTCCAAAATAGCTCCAAGCCAGCCCATGAAGCCCCCAAGAGGGCCCCGAATCGGCCAAAAAGCAGCCCAAGATCGCCCAAGGGGCTCCCAGGAAGGCTCCAAGACGGCCCGAGAGCGCTGCAAGACGGCACCAAGACGACCCGTAGATGTCCCCCAAGACAGGCTCGAAGGCGTCAAACGGGCGAAGGGCCTCCCTAAGACGGCACCAAGAGGCCCCAGGAGGACCCAGGAGGCCCTCAAGGAGGACCCAGGAGGCCCCCAAGGAGGCCTCCAAGGAGGCTCCCAGGAGGCCCCCAGAAGGCGCCAAGAGGGAGGGCACCAAGAAACCTTCTCCGTATCGTCCTCACGTGCTCCCTCTCCTCCTCCCTCCTCCTCCTCCTCCTCTTCCTCCTCCTCCTCCTCCTCCTCCTCCTCCACCTCCTCCTCCTCATCCTTCTCTACCGCGCGGACGAAGACGATGTTGAGATCACGACCCTCTCGAGTTCAGACCGCTCGCTGAACTGCTGCGGGGTGTGAACTCGAACCCCTTTCTACTGCTGGGATGAAGGCGAGGTCGAGATCACGACCTGTCCTTATCAGACCACTCGTCGGAAACGCGCTGTTCTACACTCAGCCTCCTCGGCGCTGCGCTGTTGCACAGGCGCGGCGGCGGGAATTGCCGCAGGCAGCTGGTACACCGTCATCATAACCCTCCTTCTCATCCTGCTGCCCCTCTTATCCTCCTCCCGCTCCTCCATTTCCATCCATCAATCCCGCCCTGCCACCTGCCTCCATCCCTATCAGCAACTCCTCACTGTCGCACCCCCAGGCGTGACGGTAGGGCGGGCCCAGTGTTTCGCCTTCCGCACCAAGAGCTTATGACCCTTACGCTTGGAAGTTGCATCAGCTTCACATGTGGAGGGCGGCTGAGTAACAACATGAGGCATTCGCCTTAGCGCCGCGCGCATTCTGTTGAAACGTTTACGTTGCAGATTCAAAGATCGAGGGCGATTGGTGTTCAAACTGTGGGCCTCGCCTTAGCGCTGCGCACATTCGTTTCAAAAGTCTGCGACAGCTCTATGGATGGAGGGCCGCTCCTTTTCGACATGTGGCTGTCGCCTTAGCGCCGCTCTCTTGTCTGTCGCAGCCGCCTGGGCCCCAATATGCGGTCGGAGGCGGCCGACCGGCGCCACGGGGACGAATAGTGCACGGGCAGAGGATGGACAGGCAAACAGCACCGCGCAGTCGCCTCGAGAGCGTGCAGCGGCTTGACGGACGCCCCAAGAATGGCTTTCTGGCAGAATTTAGGACTGCCAGGACGCAGCATTCACGTTGTGTCGCGTCGCTGAAGCTGCAGGAACAGAGTTCTGGCACGAGTTGAGACGGTCCTCTGCCAATGCGAAAATTCCTGCAATGAAAACAAAGTAATGCAGGAACCTTTGAAAAGGGATCTTGAAGGGATGGCGTATTGCAACATCGTCAGTGCGCCTGGGGTTTATGCTGGCCCTCCGCTCTCCTCCGCCTCCTCCGCCTCCTCCTCCTCCTCCTCCTCCTCCTCCTCCTCCTGCTCCTCTTCCTCCTCCTCCTCTCATCCTCCCATCTCCGCTCCCCGACTCGCCGGCGACGCCCTCCAGATCCTCATCCTCCTCCTCCTCCTCTTCCTCCTCCTCCTCTTCCTGCTGTGCCCACCCCCGCGAGCGGAGCCTGTACGGACTTCATGCGGTTCTTCAGGCGCTCCTGCTGGCGCACCTGGTCGTCCATCTCGAGGAAAAGCACCTACGTGCTCGAGGGGGCAGAGGAGGAGGAGGAGGAGGAGGAGGAGGAGGAATACACGCGATTATGATGACGTCCTAGGACTACGAGGAGGCCACGACATACGGATAACAAGGCTACTTCAGCTGCGTTTGAAGCCACCGCTTAGGAAGATCTCTATACGCAGGTGGCGATGGGCTCGAAGTTCCGAACGGCTGTGGAGCGAACGTTGCTGGTTTCCCACATGACTGGACCATTGCATCGGGGGAGGGGGCTGGTCGCGGTCCGAATCCAAGACGAACATGTGCTTTTGTGGCATGATTGCGCCTCTTGCTTCTCAGCCCGAGTACGCGAGCTAGAACAAGTTCTGAAGCTCTGGTTCCGACCTCGAGGCGATTCACCTCGTGGCTAAGAACGGCACGCTGCTGGAACCGCAGTACCGTAGCGCAGAGCGAGCCTGAGAGAGACCCTGCAACCCAACGGTGGGCAAGTCACGGGCCCTAGTCGGCAGGTCACGCCTCCGTGGAAGGGGGGAAGGTGTTGCTGTAAGTCGCGCTCTTTGCAGGTGAAGCAGAAGAGATCGCCCCCCCCCATCGGAGTCAAGGTCGGAATCCATCCCCGACCCGTCTCGACGGGTATTCTCTCCAAGCGACTGGAATCGAGCAGCCCGAAGGACTGAAGAACGGTCTCCCTCTGTGCAAACCCTGCAGCCGCACGCCGGCTCGGGGCCACCGACGCTCGGTCTTCTGGCGGCGGCGGAGACGCACTTGCCTGGCGCACCGCCTCCTCCCATCCTGGCTGGGCAGTGGACCGGGGGGACGGGGCACGAGGTCAGCGGTGGCCGCACGGTATTGGAGGTGACGCCACTCTTGATGCGACCCAGCTGGGACGTGATGCCAGCACTAGTGGGCACGCCGCTGCACCGCGCTCGCAGCACCTGGCCTGGCGCAAAGTCCGCGCAGTACGGGCCGCACCGAGGACAAGACGTAGGCCTTTGCCCCTCGGCAGGGGGGCGGCTCGACAAGGCACATGAGGAGCCCATGCCCCCAGACGTAGTACGCCGCAGGGGGCCACTCGAGGCGTGGAAGAGACGGCGAAGAGGGAGGAATTGGAGACGGCTTGACAAGACCGTGGCTTGAAGCGTTCGGCAGCACGCAGCTGAGAATGACGTACCCGCCTCCCACTCCCTCCCCTCCTCCTTCTTCTTGCCCCCCTCCCTCCCCCTCCTTGAAATCATCATCCTCCGCCCCTCCGTCCCCTCTAACCTCCTCATCCCCATCGCCTTCTCCTCTTCTTCCTCCTCCTCCTCCTCTGCCCCTCCTCTTGCATCTCCTCCTCCTCCTCCTCCTCCTCATCCTCCTCCTCCCTCTCCTTCCCCTCACCCACCTCCATCTCATTATCCGTCCTCCCTCCCCTCCCCCTTCCCTTTCCCCCCTCTCTCTCTCGCTCTCTTTTTTATCTCTCTATATATCCGTCTCTCACACACTCTGTCTCTGTCTGCTCGGAGGGCGGAAGTCCTGCTGTTTTTTGTACGCGTGGAGATGGGCAGCATCCTTGTCATGTCAATCCTGGGCCAGCTCTAGAAAGTACAGCTCGTCCTGCTTGGACAGACTGCACTCGAGATGACTCAGACTGTTAGGGAGACAGATTTGCAAATGGGAGCGAAGGGACACACCATCCACGAACTGGAACGATCAGCGCGCCCGATGGTCGAATAGTCGGCCCCGTCCCAACACCCTAAACGGCAACTCTACGGGCTGGGGACTGTGATGTTCTTTCGGTGGGGGGTGCTCAGACGGCTAGGCCCTCTGATTCGCACTATGACTGCATGGGTGTGGTTGAGCAATATTGCCGCCCTGTGCGACCAGCGTGCGTCCATCCTCACGCAAGCGTGCTTCAATTCTTCCAACTGGGCTCAAAACGGGTCCGAGGGGTCCGCAAGGTTAAGGCCCACCAGGGCCCCAACGAGCCAGGCATTTCAGAGCGTGAGCGGTGGGTGAGGTGTGGCAATGATGATGTCGATCGTACTGCCAAAGCAGATGTGAAGATGCATCCTCGTTGGAATGAAACCGAGGAATTTGAGCTGCAGGGTTAGGATCACGAAAGCTGTCTGTAATCTGGCGGTCGCCCTTCTGCCGTTGTGGCACCGACTCGACATGGGACAGACCCTGCTCAGTGACCCGCTAAGAACTCTGGGAGGAACCCAGGGTTGCCAAGCTTGCCTCAGCTTTGGGATGCGGGCAGCATGTGTTTACTCTGGCAGCTCGCAAGTTCGTTTGTGCACGTTGCCACCAAGTGGTAAACAATTTAAGCATCCTCGAGGCCTGTAACGCAGCTTGCAGCGGTGCAGCACCCCAGGATGGGAGTGCTCCAGCGTCAGTTAATGAAGGGAATCGGGCGGTCAGTGGAGAGGCTCTGGTGGGTAGAAAAGATTTGGACGGCAGCCGCACACTTCAGTTATGGCCGAAAATTCAACCCTTCATTTGCTCGGCATGCGGGCGCACGGCTTCTATACTCCCCTGGGAGCTGGCTACCGCCTGCCAACTGGCTAGATCCAGGAATGGGAAGGAGAACTAGTCTCGCATAGAGCGTCAACAGAATGGCCAAATTGTCTCGCATCGTGCGATCTCAGAGTCGGACTCTTCGCGTGTGCGTCAACCAAATGTTCTCTCGCGTGCCGAGCCGCCCGCTGCCATCGGTTGAGCTTCATGCCTCTCGCTGGGCGTGTTATTTTGTCAGTGCAAACCCAGACCCACTTCCCAGGATCGCAGGGCCACCTCGTTTCTCCAAACCCTGTGTACAGCTAGGGCTGTGCTGCAGTCAGTTTGCGCATGGCCTGCCTGTGCATTCAGTCTGTAGCAATTCGGTCGAGCATCGTGCCAGTTGTTGGAATATTTGACTCGGTAGCCATGCGAAATATCTGGGCCCTGCTCCCTGACTCAGGGCCACGTGCCGAGAGCAAGCCCCAACCTTGCCGCCGCTCACTCTGCTGCCCGAGCGGCCTGTTGAAAAGCAGTCCTACCCCATCCTAACCTCTCCTGCGCCTCTACCACCTCCTCGCTTCTGCCGTCGACGTTCATCTCAGCACAACCCCAGCCCAACCCAAACCCCAACCGAGCCCCAACCCAACCCCGATACCCCTCCCCCCCTTCCCTCCCTACCCAAAAAGGGGAAAACGAAGGAAGGGCAGCAGCATGGGCACCTTTTCCTCCTCCGACTCCCTCCGACTCCCTCCACCCATCCCTCCACCCCAGCGTCCGTCCTGCTCCTCCTCCCAGGGCCTCCCGGAGCCCTGGAACGACCCACAGGACCCCGCGGCGCTCCCAAAGCGGAATCGGGCGAGGCGGGGAGGCCGGAGCTCTCGGAAGGAGCCAGGGGTGGCCTCCAGGAAGTCTGCCCGGACGGCAGGAGCGCCGTCTGAGGATCCCCCCGCCCTCCCCCCTCGCGCCACCCCCCGACCCTTTCCTCCCTCCCTCCCGCCCCCCTCCCTGCCCCTTCCCCGCCCTCCCCACTCCCTCCCCCCTTCCCTCCCCTCCCCCCCCTTCCCCGCCCGACACGACTTCGAGAGACCCCCCAGCTCCCCTTGGCCCGAGGAAGAGCCTGGGGAGGTCGGGGGAAGCCGCCGCGGGCGGCGACAGCCGAGGCTCGCGGCTCCAGGCGTGAGGTTCGGCGAGGCTCGAGGCTCGACGTCGTTGCCGTCGAGCCTCGACGACGAGGCACGTGTCGATGCCCACGTGAGAGAGAGCGGGGCGCGGCCACAGGCCCGGGCGGCGCGCCGCCCCCGGCGCCTCGTCGAGCGAGAGGCCGTTGTTGCCGCCCACGTCGCAACACTCGAAGATCTCGATGAGGTCCTGGCGCCCGACGCTGGCGGCACGACGACTCCGTCGGCGAAGGCTGGACAACCTCTGGTGCCCCTCGACTCGCGCGGGTGCTCTCACGAGCTTCACTGCACCGACCTTGCAGACGTGCTGCACCGGACTTGTGCGTGGATTCCTGCCAGCGCAACACCCCGGAACGGCGAGCGAAAAACAACGTTCTTCTAACGCAGGTGCTTTGCAATCTTCATTCCTGGCCAAAGCAATTGGCACTACATTCACTGCGAAATCTGGAACCAAATTCTCCAGGACAGTCCGGGCCCATCCCAGTGTTTTCCGAGCGAAATATGTTCTGCGATGCTGGCGCCATGACGAGTTCCTAAAACTCCGCAGAGGCAATGCTCGCACTTTGGGGTCCTGATTTTTTTTCAAAAGGACTGGGTCGGGCTGTCGGTCCGGTTGGCATACGGCCGCCCGTCGCCGTCGTCAAGGAACTGGTCCTCGTTGTCCGTATGCCAGGTTTGTGGCCGCCTGTCGCCGATCGTCGCCGCCGTCCTTGGTCAGTAGTTTGATGGTGCGAGGCTCGCACTCCGCATTGTTGTGCATTGCTTGTTTGTTTTGTGTGTTGCACATTGTTTCGCATTCGATCGCATGTTTTTGCATTGTTTCGCGTTGCTTCCCCCACTACACCGATTGCACGACGCAGACTGCAACAACAAAACTGCACAATGGGGCAAACTGGTTCGTGTCTGAATAGATCATGCTATTATATCCGCCTCTCTGGGAGGATGTTCAAAATCCGGAAACGTTGTATACATGTGCCGCCTCGTGGAGATCGAGCGCTGCGCCAGGGCAAAAACAATTCAGGAATTCACGCAAAGGCTAACAGCGGATGCCCGAGGAGGCAACGAATTTGGAAGAAGATCCGGCAGAAGGTATAGAAGAGTATGTTGGAGAACATATGGGAGAAAGATCCACAGGAGATCTAGGGAGGATCTGGATGAAGATCTGGGGGGGAAACAATGAGAAAGATCCGGGGGATTATCTGGAAAGTCGCCAGCTGACTGAAATCAACGAAACTCTTCGCGATTACCATGGCTGAAATGCTGCCGCGCTCCGCAACTGCAAGCGCGACGGCGGCAACTGCCGCGCCCGCCGAAAATCGGCTGGATGGGCGCTGAGCAATTCCTGGGCGTGCGGCGTGCGGGGGGGCGACCAAAATAATCCCTGACACGAGCAGGGAATCAACTCATAAGCTCTGCAAGGTGCCGGTCACGTCCGCGCGCGGAATCAACTTACAAGCTTTGCAAGGGTCCGTTAGGAGGGGAGCTCTTGCAGCCCGATCAAGCGGCAAAGCGCGCATTCTCATGCTCCGATCCAAGCGATACATGGGGGGGTACTCCTTGTAGCCATGGTTTCGTGTGGCGCTGTCCCGTTGAACTATGGATAAGATCGCGCTAGTAAAGGGGGGGGGCGGCCGGCTGGCGGGCGCGCGCGGCGGGCGGGCCGAGCTTCCATTCGGCGACCGAAGCCAGCGCAGCTTCGGAAAATGTCAGCAGATGATGACGAGGCAAGGCAGGTGCGTGACTAAATCAACTCCCCCCGCGGCCTCCCAGACGAGCCCCACTCGCACGGGCGGACGTTAACGATTCGCCAACGCCCCAAGTTTGCATGTAGAGCGGCCCGTTCCGCCGCGCCCGGCAGGCAGCACGCCCGCTACCTGGCTCACAGCGCCCCAAGACGCTCAGTGCATAGCACGGTTGCGTCGCGGGGGCACCCGCAGCATAGCTGCAAGTGCCTCTCGTTCTCTTCCACCCAACCCCAACGCTTCGTCACCGCGGCCCCAGCTGCTGTTGCCGTGCCAGTCGCCTGGAGCTCCAGCTCCAAGACGACCACCAATTGTCGGCGTTCTCTCGCCATTGTGGAGTGGAATCCGCAATCTGCCGCTCGTCGTCGGAGTCGGAGCGATCGCGCCATGGCGGGGCGCTGTCCACGCGGCGCCGTGACGCGTCGGCTGCGCCATGCCAAGGCGGAGTGACGCCCGCGCGCAGCCGGGAATCTTTCGCGGCCGGCGGCCCCGATGCCTTGGCGAAGCTCGAAGAGGCGGCCCCCGAGCGCGAGTGAGAGCCCCACTGGGTCGGCGCGCCAGCTCGGCGTCGCCTGCATTTCTGTCGACCATCTGGCGCACGACTGCTCGAAGAGCGCCTTTTCGTGTTCCAGGACATTGGCGGGACTGTTGCGCCGATAGTACGCTGGCCAGGTGGCAATGCGCACGCTGATGTGGCATGCGCAAGTCAATATGAAATCCGCGCTGGACTGCTTACAATAATCGCACCATTCCACCGACTTCAGCGTCGACCCTGCGTTCACCTCCCTGCGCGTCGAGCAGTGGCATCCGACTCGGAGACACAAGTGTAAGTGCTCCTTCGAGCTCAGACTTGTCGGCCTCTATGACACGCTTTCTCGGCAATGGTTCCGTTCCACCCATCGGTGGGGGCCGATGAAAGGGCGCTCCATCTCGCGGACCACGCGGCTGCGATTCTGGGGGGGCGGACGGGCGCAGCTCCTAGGCTGGTAAAAGAAGCCTTGCATCTGCATAATTAGTACCCTCTCGTGAAGCCCGCTGTTCCCAGGCGCCCCCAGTTCGAACGCTGGCGCGTTGCCCCCTGCCGGTGGGGCGCGCATAATGCCGCGTTCTCAGCGTGAATGCCCTTCGTGCCGCCCCGTGCTATTACTGCGAGGCGTTGCCGACATTGCTTGCCACTTGCGGACCAGGGCGGGCTCTCATCGTCGGAAGCGCCCTCGACGTCGTCGTTTGAAACCTGTCCTTTGCCCTATGCCCTCGTCGTCTTCCCCAACGGACCGCCGGTTTTGAGCTCTATGCCTCCCAAAGTCGTCTAGTGAGCATGCAACCCATCGATCATCAGCTTCCACCTTCGCCAGGACGAGAACATCCATGTCGACCCGCGACTCCCTGCAATGCGCGACGAGCTTCTCCACGTCGGGATAGACAAAGTACTGTTCATAGAACTGGTCCGTCTCCAGCTCCTTCCCCCAATACTTCCACTCAGTTCAGAGAACTCCGCTGTCGCGAGCAAAAACGCGAAGGTGCACGACGAGCAACCTCCTACTGTCGCGGATATATTGAATCTGTTCCTTCTGCCGAGCACTGAAGGGTCGTCGCGCCTCACGATAGACTCGGCGATTATCACGCTGTGCGGAGTCATAGACACCTTCCCCCTGCGCCGCGTCCTTGATCTGCCAGAAAGGATCCTTCACCGTCTCGCGCCACGCAAACGTCTCCTCACTGGGACAATGGTGGTCTGGATCCACTAAGGCTGCGAGGTCGAGCACCTTGCGGCGGCGCAACCACAACCCCTTGGCGCGCGTCTGCGGCGGCGCGGCGAAGAAGAGTCGGAGGGCAATTCTCGCCAAGTTGCGAGGGCGAGGGCAGCAGCATTGCTCGTTCTTCTCTGCGCCCACTGCCTGGAAGCCCCCCAGTTCCGACGGTGGGGCCAGAAACTGGAAGTCACAAGCGACGGCTAGTCCATCGCCAAAGAGCTCCGCTGCATTGGAGTAGGCGGCGTGCTGCCACAGTGCTCTATAAGAGTCTCGGAAGGCACGCGCGCCCTCGGCAGGCGTCTCAGTGCCCCTGCGGCGCTTTACCCACCCGCCGTCACTTACCCTGGAGGCGACGAACGCGCCAGGGTCAAGGACGGCGTCGAACTTGTTGACGATGACGGCGCGCGAGTAGACCTTCCAGCCGAGCCCCTCTTCAAGCGCGCTTCGTCTGCTGACAAGTCGAACGGAGAAGTGAGCACAGCATGCTCAGGCTGAACATCAACCGTCATCTCTCCCAGATCGAAAAGGTCGCGCAGCGCCCCTTGCACCTCGCGAGCCGTGTATAGGCGCCTGTCGAAGAGCGATTCGGCGACGCAGCGCCCGCAGCAAATCTTGGTGGGTTTGGGAAAATGTGCCTGGCGAGCAGCCGCCGCGACCCAAGCAATGGATCTGGCATGCATCACCGCTGCTCCTTTGCAAGAGGTCGTTATAATCGGTCTCTAATGAGCTTGACTGGCCTCAAAAACGCGGGGACACGATAATTCTGTCCTCGATGTCGCACATTGGGTTGACCTCTGGGGCCCCGCGAACGACGCGGCACTCAGTGGACGAGAGTGGCGAGCCGCGGATATTTGCGCATTCTTTCAGTCGCCAACCAGGCTCGTATTCCATGTCCTGGGGGCGCCGCTGGCATAGCCGGCGGTCGCCTCGTCCATGCGGCCCCCCTGGGGTCAATGGCGATCACGTCGCCCCTTTCCCCTCATCGCATCGAGACGTTGGGTCATCCTGGCGCCCGGCCTTGGCGCGGCGCGTTCGGCGCTGGGGCCAGGAACCATTGCGGGGAAATTGAATCGCGAGTCGCATGGCAGGGCGCACGTTGGCACGTCCTCCCACGGCGTCTTTGTAGCAGCGCCATTTTCCTTGACGCAGTCCGCAAATCTCTGCGAGCCCACATCGACGCATGAGAGCGCGGGCAGCGCAGGGGAGTCCCGGAGGCCGAACGGCCAAAGGGCATCAATTTGACGTTCGCTGGCGCCTGATCCCCCATCCTTTGCGCAGGACGCCCGGCTCAAGAAGCGCTCAAACCTGGGCGGGCTCGCGGGCAGGAGCCCGGCTGCCTCGGCAGCGCGAGTGCAGGCGTAGCCTCCTCTCGCATTTTCCCCTGGACTCGCATTCGCATCAATGCAGACCTTGCAGGCGGCGGCGATGCATCTGGCCATTTCTTTCACAGACGATTCGCCGGGGCCCGCCTCGAAAGGCAGCGGGTCGCCGCCCGGGCGCCCGCCCCGCCCGCGCAGCAGCGGTCCGCGGACCCACAGCCACCGACACGAAATACCAGCCTCGTCCCAACGCATCACGCGGTTGTTTGCAACGGCTGCGGAGCGGCTTGCGAGAGTGCCCCAGGCGACGTACACTCCGCTTGTAGCCGCGATTTTCCAAGACTAAGCATCACCCAGCCCTGGGGCCACCATGCA